GCTGCCAGACCTGCTGAGCTTTTCCAGCAACTTTGTTTTTCTTCCTGTAGTTGCTAGATATCTGAAATGAAAAGCAAAAAGAAACGCTAAAGAAGGGTCTAGGCCCAAAACGTCAGCCTTCCTGCTCCTCTGATGCTGCTTGGCCTGCTGTGTTCATCCAGCTCTACACCTTGTTATCTCGCTATAAATATAAAGCAGACCTTGCCGCATCATTAGAAACAAACAGTTAGTGTTTGTTACGATCTTTCATCAGAACGGACGCGTTTTGAGGAAAAACGAGGAGTGACAGACAATAAGGAAGTACTGCGAAAGAAAAATCAAAAAGGGAATGACAAGTGAGGAAAATCGAAGATGGAGATAGGGCAAACAACGGAAGAAAAATGTGCTTACAGGTGTAAATGACGAGTGCAAAATTAATATCAACTGATATTTTTAAAAATGAAAGCAGGGTTATGGTTTAAAATAGTTAAACTCGTATTAATTTCTGAAAGCTATAAAGTAGCTAAACAAAAGACGTTATTCTGTAAACACCGATTGAAAATGCACTTCACTTAAATAGAATAGATGCCAAGATAGTCGTGAATAGAGAATTAAAATGGTTGACAGATTGAATTTCAGGGACACGCTTGAGGGCTGCAGGGGATATCCCACAAAATGAAGGTGTTGGACAGGTTTTCCTTCATTGGTCAGAACTTTGGGTAGGAATTGGGACGTCATGTTGTTGAGGCCACTTTTAGAATATCGCCTTCAGTTCTGATCTCCCTGCTTAAAGGAAACATGTTGTTAAACTTGAAACGGTTCAGAAAAGATTTACAAGGCTGTTGTCAGGATTAGATGGTTTGAGTTTAAGCAGGAGCCATTTTCCTCCTGGAGTGTAGGAGGCTGAGGGGTGACTTTATAGACGTTTAGAAAATCATGAGAGTTACGGATAGGATGAATAGCCAAGGTCTTTTTCACAGGATAGGGGAGTCCAAAACTAGAGGGCATAGGTTTAATATGAGAGGGAAAAGATTCAAAAGGGACCTGAAGGGCAACTTTTTCACGGAGACAGTGTGCAATGCTTGGAATGAGCTGCCAGAGGAGGAGGAGGTGGTGGAGGCAGGTTTGATTACGACATTTAAAAGTCACTTAGATGGGTGCACGAATAGGAAGAGTTTAGAGGGATATGGGTCAAATAATGGCAGATGGGACTAGATCAGTTTCAGATATCTGGTTGGTGCGGACAAGTTGGACCGAAGGGTCTGTTTCAATGCTGTATAACACTATGACCCTATAATCTGTATTTAGTTTTGCCAGAATACAATAGACTGCATCGTGAGCAGTGAATGCAAGTTGCTAAAATAAAAGAAGTCTGGTTTCTATATTATTGCACATGTTAAATGTCAAGTTTATTTAGAGTTCCAAATTTCATTTAATTCCTAGCAATTTCAGAAACATTAATGGAATAGGTGTGCTGTCTATTATTTCTTCTGATGTGCAATATATGTGCTTTTCTGTGTTGGCTTCCATTCCTGGCTTGCATGCCATAGAGCATGCAGAGGATGTTGACAAATTTGAGGGAAGCCAAATTCTAGAAGAATACACATAAGCCATCATGATTGATCGAGTCAAAGACTTCCATGAGGCTAAAAAAAATGTACATGTGGCCACTGAAAACAAGCATGCAAATATAGTAGGTAGTTAGAAAGGCAAATTATATGTTTGCCTTTGTTGTTGGAGGGTTTGAAGTGAGGAGTAAGGATATCTTACTGCAGCTGTGTTGGGCCTTATTGAGACCACACCTAGAGTATTGTTATTAGTTTTATACTTACCCCCATCACTAGAGAAGTAATATCAGACAAACTAATGTGGCTAAAGGCAGATCAGTCCCTGATCATGATGCTTTGCATCCTAAAATTCCTAGAAAAAGTAGCTACAGAGATAGTGATGTAATTTTCCAAAATTCCTTGGATTTTGGAGATGTACCATAGGACTGGAAAATTGCTAATGTGACACCCCTATTTAAAGTGGAAGAGAGGCAAAAGTGGGTAACTCTAGGCCAATTTGCCCAACGTTTATAGTTGGAAAAATTTGGAATAAATTATTAAGGAAGCAATAGCAGCACATTTAGAAAATCATAATCTCACTAAGCCAAATCTGCATGGCTTCATGAAAAGGAAACCATGTCTGTCTAATGTATTAGTTTTTTGCTGAAGTCTGAACCAGAGGGGAACCAGTCGATGTGGTGTATGGACATCCAGAAGGAGTTTGATTTGGGACCTCTCAAAAGGTTAAGCCAAATGTTAAGAGTTCTCAGTGCTAGTAGTAGTATATTGGCATGGATAGAGAATTGGCTGATGGCTGCAGCGGCGATAAGGGCCTCTCTTTCAGGGTAGCAACCTGTAATCAGTGTGGTTCCACAGGAATTAGTGCTGGGATATCAATTGTTATATTAATAACTTGGAGTAAGGAAGCATTTGTACGGAAGCCAAATTTGCAAAGACTCAAAAATAGGTGGAAAGACAAGTTGAAAGAGCGATGGAAATAGTTTACAGAACTATATTGATAGGTTAAGTAAGTGGGCAAAATGTTGGCAAATGGAATATATGAAAATGTGAAGTTGTTCATTTTCGAAGGGAGAACAAAAGTATTTAAATGGAGAAAAACTGTAGAAAGCTACAAAAAAAGGGATTTTGGAGAACTTGTGCATGAAACACAGAAAGCTGCATATGCAGCAGGTGATCAGGAAGGTTAATGGAATGTTGGCCCTTATTTCAAAGGGTTTGGAGTATAAGGTAAACAAATCCTATTGCAACTGTACAAGGTGCTGGTGAGACCACATTTATAGTACTATGAGCAGTTTTGCTTGTTAAAGAAAATACATAATTTCATTAGCAGCAGGTCAGATGTTCACCAGGATTATTCCTGGAATGGAGGGATTGTCTTAGAAGTAAAAGCTAAACCAGTTGGTAGACTACTTGTTGGAATTTAGAAGAATGAGAGGCGATCTCATCACTTGATGGTAAATTCTGAGGATGTTTCCCTCATGGGAGAGTCAAGGACCAGAGGGCATAATCTCAGAATAAAGGGGCACCAACTGAAGGCTGAGATGAGGAGGAATTTCCTCAATGTTGAGTGTCTTTGGAACTGATCACAGAGAGCTGTGGGAGCAGAGTCCTTGTTTATATTTAAGGCTTAGATAGATTTTTGATTTGTTGGGGAATCAACATTCATGGGGAAAAAGCAGGAAAGTGGACATGAGTGTCAAATCAGCCATGATCCTGCTGAATGATGGAGAATGGCTGAATGGCATACACTTGTACCTATTGCTTATGGTCTTGAGGAGTGTAATGAAGTTTCATCGGTCTGGGATGGTAGGTTTGTCATATGATGAGGGACTGGCCAAATTGGGCATGTCCTTATTGCAGTTAGGAAGAATGAGAGGGGATATATTCAAATTTACAAAGTGCTAACAGGCTGAACAGACTGGATGGAGGTATGCCTTTTGTCCTGGCTGGGGGATCCAAAATGGGATCATATTCTCAGGATACACAGTGGACCATATTGGACCAAGGTGAGACATTTCTTCACTCCGATGATGAGCAGGGCTGTGGAGGCAAAGCCACTGAATATAATTAAGAAATAAACGGTAGTTTTCTGAAAGCTAAAGGTGTCAAGGTATATGAGAGAGAGCAGGAGTATGACGTGGAGATAGAGGATCAACCTTGATCATGTTGAATATCGGAGCAGGCTGATAAAGATCTTCTGAACTGAGCCTTAGTTTGACCCCCAGGTTCTCTTTGGGTGGTTGGAAAGCTGTAAACACTTAAGCAATTATCTCAGCAGACAGTATGTCTAGTCCTCTTGCTTAAGTTACAGGATATCTTGGAAAGGCTGTTTTGATCCATTGCTAAAATCAAATTAATTTCTCACCTTAAAGAAGTCAAGTCACCTTCATAGAACCTAAAAGCAGAATTGTTGGCTTTTTAGAATCCATGGTCCAATATTTTAATAAAATATGAAACTTCTAATACCTTTAATTGATTTGTTATGATTCCAGTTAAATGTTATTACTGGATAAATTAGATAACAGACTGAAATCTGGCTTGATAGATGGTATTTTATTTTTCTTTTGGTTTTAATGAGATGGTCTTTCACTGAAATTCAAACATGCAATGATGCAGATTTGGGTTTAACAATAAAACAAAAGTTTATTATGTAAAAGAAATGCAGATAGAATAAAGCAAGCTATTTACATATATCATAGATTTAAGGTAAATTACATTAAATACAGTGCCATTAACTCCAACAGCATCCCATTACAGTGCTCAAACAGCAGAGAGAATTCCCTTGTCCATCCCACAACTTAGCTGTGTCTTCAATTACTGGTCCCAAGAACCTGATAGCCTCATCCTTGGTTTGTCATATAAGTGAGCTTTGACTTGATCAGCTTAATATAACCCTTTTAGGGTTTTAACCAAACACTTATAGTTTGTAACTTTTAAACTAAGCTCCTTATACTTGTTACCCATCTGTGAGACACAACAGTACATACATTGATGAAGATACAACAGAGACATTTAGAGCTCTATACAA